CAACTCCCTTTTTTGCCGCATCAGGCTTTCCTTTAGCTCGGTATGCAGCAATATCCTTCCAAAGTAACAGCAGGAGAAAGTGGAAGGAAAGACAAAACAGTTAAGTAAAGGGAGAACTAAAAGTAACACTGAACTTGACCAAAACTTCATGAAAACGTCAAGACCCCAATTACATGAAAATACTACATATCTATAGACTCACCCTGACTCCATATATAAGGAGGACTGAAGAATATGCATATAAAAACACTAGGAAATAACTGCAGTTAATAATGCATAACCTACAGAATGACAGGATCTAAATCTGCAATGTTATGCCTCACTGAAGTACAATTATGTACCACATCTTAACTTTAGCTTTATTAAAACTAGAATGCAGTCTTTGATTAAAGGGTAGACACTGCCACCTTCTGAATGCAAAACAGCATTCTACAGGTTTCTATCAGACCCTAATCCACAGTAGAAAATTTTGTCTTAAAAACAACATAAAAGGTAATTTGCTAGTAAGCATACAGTCAGGTTAAGAAACCTCTAGCAACCAACATTTTCTCAGACACCTAAATAAGCTAAAATTCAACTTAATACTCCGATTCAAAGTACAGGAGCCAAATTTTTCATCAATTTATACAGATCAAGAGACTTCCAACTTTTTTTTTTTAACTATGTTGGGATTTTTTTCTTATCTAAGGAGGCAACAGAAATGTTTCAGGGTAGCTTTACGAAGGATATAGTCTTTATTACTTATCCCAAACTGTTTTTATAAATGTGTCTGATCATTTAAAGTAATCATTTGACTCAAAGGGACTACCAAAATCTCCACAAATTTGGAGGTATCAGAGAGTAATAAAAGCTGCTTAAGTGTATGGCCTTTGCACCCAAGTGTTTAAAAAAAAAAAAAAGTATAACAATTTATTTGATCTTCTGTACTCTTTGAATGATGGAAAAGAATTAAGACTATAGCCAGCCAATGGCACACTGAATGTAGCTGTTTATCTAAAAACTGCATTACACCCCAAACTTTTAGAAAACCAGAAGAAAATAGGAAACTGAGATGAGGTACTAACTATAATCTAACATATGGCATATCCTTTGTTACACTGAGCAAATCCATACTTCTTACCTTTTCATATTTTTCCTTCAGCTTAGCAGCCTTCTTTTCATAAGGCTGCTTGTCATCTGCAGCAGTGTTATTCCACATTTCTCCCAGTTTCTTTGCAACATCACCAATGGATAGACCTGGATGTTCTCCTTTGATTTTTGGGCGATACTCAGAACAAAACAAGAAAAAGGCCGAACTAAAAAGATAAATTTAATTTTAGGATTTTAAGTTGACTATCAAATGTGTATTGTACTATTACATAAAAGCTGCTTCTAATTTCTACCAGATACTGGACAGGGTGCAAATGTTGTATCTAAACAGTCTTCATAACCAAAGCTTAACTTAGAGCTATTTAAACTTATGGCACTACTAGTTGAAGATGCACTAAATCACCCTAAGTATTTCGGGTAATTGGTGTTTCTCAAAAAAATAAAATAAAGTTACATTTAGATGTATCAAGTGAAGGGGGCAAGTGTCTTAATTCAAATGCTCTGGCTAAACCTCCCATTTGATAGGAATTTTACTTACAATATTCAAATATACCAATGTGAACTACTTACCAGCTAAGAAACTTTGATCATACACTCCAAACCCACAAGGTGGCTTGCTTAACTTCTATCTTAATCTACTGTAAAACCCTCCCTGAAAATAAAAACAGGCGAGATACTTACGGAGGCCTCTTAGGTGCATTGGGATCCTTGAACTTCTTTTTTGTTTCCCCTTTAGGGGGAATATAAGTTTTCATTTCTCTTTCATAACGGGCCTTGTCAGCCTTTGCCATGTCTTCAAATTTTCCTTTCTCTTTAGCAGACATGGTCTACAAAAGAATTATTTGTAAACTTAAGTCAACAGAAAATTTTAGTAAATTGTCCTCAAAGTATTAAAATGACTAAAATCAGTATCCTTCATTATTTACTCAGCAGTCTGTTCTAATATCACTACTCATGCAAATAGCACCTAGTTTTTAAAAAAAATCTTAATTTTGATTTAACCTTTAAAAAAATTATCTCCTCAGTAATTTCCAAGCCCCCTTACCTTCCACCTTTCTGAGCACTTCTTAGAAAACTCTGAGAAGTTGACTGAAGCATCTGGGTGCTTCTTCTTGTGCTCCTCTCGGCAAGTTTGCACAAAGAATGCATATGATGACATTTTGCCTCTCGGCTTCTTAGGATCTCCTTTGCCCATGTTTAATTATTTTCTAAGAGATAAAGCAAATGTTTGATATTAGCAATAAAATTATAGCATTTTCAGAGCACTTTAACTTCCTGGGGTGTGAATGAAAACCCAAGCATTGGTTATTTAACGGTAGCGACTTTAACCTCCTATAACACTAAACAAGAAAATGGCAGTGATAGCCAATTCCTACAAGAGGCTATGCCAAGCAAACAAAACAAAACAAAAAACCCCAACAAACACCCAAAACGGTCCTTCAGGGAACTCAAAAAAAGTGCAGACACAATGGTATCCTCATACAGTATTCTTTACTTATCTGCTTTTATCTGTTCTGAATGAATACTAACCGGTCATTTAAAAACTTTTTAAATGCACAAAACCATTTTTGATCAACGAAACCAAAGACCACAAAACCAACGCTGCCGATTCGTGGATCTGCACCACATAAAAAATAAACAGGTAACAGCCCAAGTGAGCAGACTCTTTCCAAATTACGGGCCTAAATCACCGTCTACCTGAAGTTTTCTCAATGAGGGCTTTAAAAATACTCTCTCTGCACAAAACTTTGCAGGGAGGAGTAGAAAGCTCCAACGCTCGGACCGAGGCTGGGGGGTGGCGGTGGTATTTGTACGGCTGCCACCGCGAGGCAGCCTCGTTTCCTATCGGTTTGGCCCCGAGATGTATTTCAGTTCTGACTAAACACGTCCGGTCTGAAGTTTCTTCGAGTAAACAAGGATGAGGGACAAAAGCCACTCCTGCTCGTTGCTCTGCCTGCCCCCCCACAACCAGGGGAGTATTTTTTTTTTTTTTTTAAATCTGTGAAAAGTCGGGGCGCCGCGCGAGGCGGGCTCCGCACACCTTCCCGCCACTCGGCCCCCACCCCCAGAACTTCGGTAGCGGCGGGGCGGCCGAAGAAACGCGGGACCGCGGCCCGGCCTCCAGGCCCCGGCCCGCCCGCGCCGGGCCGCCACGTGCGTCCGCCCGCCCGCCCGCCGGGCCTCCGGCGCAGGCCCCGCAGGCCTCCCCCATTTTGTCAGCTTGGCGGAGGGAGAAGCCCCGCTCGAAATGGGGGCTGGCTCCGCCCGCGGCCGCCGGGGCCGGCGCGCACGGAATGGCCGCTGCGCGTCTTCCCCGCCTGCGCCGCCGCCGCCGCCGCGAGGGCGAGCGCGAGCGAGAATATGGCTCCTTCCCTTTGTGTGTGTATGTGTGTGAGTGTGTG